AGAAACAGACACAGCACCTCGCGTTCATTCTAACATGGTGACAAGACAAGTTCATTCTAATGTCACTTCCAGCACCCCCCTACTTTTTTTTTTGTGGGTTTCATCCGGTCAGGAGTGCGATTGTCACTTTTTGTCTGGAAACAATAAATCAGCCACATTCATTTCTAGCATGCTGAAATTCCCTACAGATGATCAGATGTCACTTCCTGTCCCCAACACAGAAACGATCACTTGGGATTAAATTGGATCCTGTATGGCTACCCTCAAACATAGGATAGAGCTTAGCTGACTTGCGATGAAAGGCCCAGACAGTGAATTGTACCGAATGTTTATCCAGGAGCACCAATGACTTCCTTCCCAATAGTATTGAAGCAGTCAGAAGACTAATAATCAAATCGCAGTTCTAAAGGGTGCTCTCTTGTCCATGTCCAGCCTCAGCTGATAGATTGCATTTTAAAAGATATCATTTGCACTTCAAGGCAGAGCCGTCTAGTCATTCATGAACTGAACAGTCTGTCCTGACTCCCTCCCTCAACCCACAACTAATGACAGTGATCATGTGACCACAATAAAACACTGAACTGTTGTAAATAAATAAGTGCACAGGTTGTGGAATCTAAATCATTCGCCAAGTCAATCTCCGTCAACAGTAAAAGTTATTAATATACATGACTCTTGCAACACGACCTGCCGCACAGAAGTGCACTTTGGAATGAATGGTGTACAGGAAGTACAAGATACAATGTAAACAAACCAACACAGGATAAAGCCACAGCTACCAATCAGAAATCAATATTCTTCTGCAGCCTCATCAAAGCTGAAGATTGAAGGGTTATTAAGAATTACTGCTCAGCAATGCTGTGTGCTGTACGGTTAACACAACCCGGTCTACAGAACCTCCTATGGCCACCTCCTAGATTGTTAGCTCTGTGGCACAGCATGCATCCTGCTGGTTCGGGTTACCCATTACAATTAAAGCTGAACGCCTTGTCACTATAAAGCACCAAACACAACCCGGTCTACAGAACCTCCTATGGCCACCTCCTAGATTGTTAGCTCTGTGGCACAGCATGCATCCTGCTGGTTCGGGTTACCCATTACAATTAAAGCTGAACGCCTTGTCACTATAAAGCACCAAACACAACCCGGTCTACAGAACCTCCTATGGCCACCTCCTAGATTGTTAGCTCTGTGGCACAGCATGCATCCTGCTGGTTCGGGTTACCCATTACAATTAAAGCTGAACGCCTTGTCACTATAAAGCACCAAACACAACCCGGTCTACAGAACCTCCTATGGCCACCTCCTAGATTGTTAGCTCTGTGGCACAGCATGCATCCTGCTGGTTCGGGTTACCCATTACAATTAAAGCTGAACGCCTTGTCACTATAAAGCACCAAACACAACCCGGTCTACAGAACCTCCTATGGCCACCTCCTAGATTGTTAGCTCTGTGGCACAGCATGCATCCTGCTGGTTCGGGTTACCCATTACAATTAAAGCTGAACGCCTTGTCACTATAAAGCACCAAACACAACCCGGTCTACAGAACCTCCTATGGCCACCTCCTAGATTGTTAGCTCTGTGGCACAGCATGCATCCTGCTGGTTCGGGTTACCCATTACAATTAAAGCTGAACGCCTTGTCACTATAAAGCACCAAACACAACCCGGTCTACAGAACCTCCTATGGCCACCTCCTAGATTGTTAGCTCTGTGGCACAGCATGCATCCTGCTGGTTCGGGTTACCCATTACAATTAAAGCTGAACGCCTTGTCACTATAAAGCACCAAACACAACCCGGTCTACAGAACCTCCTATGGCCACCTCCTAGATTGTTAGCTCTGTGGCACAGCATGCATCCTGCTGGTTCGGGTTACCCATTACAATTAAAGCTGAACGCCTTGTCACTATAAAGCACCAAACACAACCCGGTCTACAGAACCTCCTATGGCCACCTCCTAGATTGTTAGCTCTGTGGCACAGCATGCATCCTGCTGGTTCGGGTTACCCATTACAATTAAAGCTGAACGCCTTGTCACTATAAAGCACCAAACACAACCCGGTCTACAGAACCTCCTATGGCCACCTCCTAGATTGTTAGCTCTGTGGCACAGCATGCATCCTGCTGGTTCGGGTTACCCATTACAATTAAAGCTGAACGCCTTGTCACTATAAAGCACCAAACACAACCCGGTCTACAGAACCTCCTATGGCCACCTCCTAGATTGTTAGCTCTGTGGCACAGCATGCATCCTGCTGGTTCGGGTTACCCATTACAATTAAAGCTGAACGCCTTGTCACTATAAAGCACCAAACACAACCCGGTCTACAGAACCTCCTATGGCCACCTCCTAGATTGTTAGCTCTGTGGCACAGCATGCATCCTGCTGGTTCGGGTTACCCATTACAATTAAAGCTGAACGCCTTGTCACTATAAAGCACCAAACACAACCCGGTCTACAGAACCTCCTATGGCCACCTCCTAGATTGTTAGCTCTGTGGCACAGCATGCATCCTGCTGGTTCTGGCTACCCATTACAATTAAAGCAGAACGCCTTGTCGCTATAAGTCACCAATCACAACCCAGTCTACAGAACCTCCTATGGCCACCTCCTAGATTGTTAGCTCTGTGGCACAGCATGCATCCTGCTGGTTCTGGCTACCCATTACAATTAAAGCAGAACGCCTTGTCGCTATAAAGCACCAATCACAACATTAGCACCGGCTGGCAATGTGTGTATAGATCAGGGCTTTGTTTATTTGGAAGCCGTCCTTGGCACTGTGGGCAACTACAACAGAGGAGTAAACCAGCCTTCCTCATGTTTAATCTCCTCCACCTCACAATGTTCACTCCATATAAAGTAGATGCAGCACGAGGCACAAAAACAGAAAATAAAACAGGAAGCAAGGAAAAACAATCAGCAATGTTTACGGAGCCCCTCCAATCGCTCCTGCCCACGCCACCTGCCTAATTATCCTAAATAAGCTTCACAGACCTGAACGTGGGAGAAATAACAGCTGAGCTTTTTTTATATGCTAAAACACAGCACAGACCGTGTGTATGGCATTCTAATACAGCACGCCCGCAATATATGGAATAATATTACTATTGCAGAGCCTTGTAGATCAATATACAGTATAATAATATAACAAAAACCTTTATAGATGGAAAAACAATATCACAGAGGCTGCTAGAGGGAATAATCCTACAGAGGAGCCTTTTATGTGGAGTGGTAATAAAACTGAGACTTGTATGTGGAATATTAATAGAACAGATTCTTATATATGGAAATACAATACAGCCCCGAGCACAGCCTGCTCTATAGGACAGCAACACAGCAGAGCCTGGCACATGTTATCATAACAGGACCTGCAAAGTTGTACCACACAAGAGAATCACATGCATGGGCTGCAGTCATCCCACAGAGGATCCTTCGATACAAAATAACAAAATATTGTAACATTTTACAAAACAAAGTATAGAGCAGAGCTGTGCATGTGTTTAATAATAGAACACAGAAATCCATGGGGTGTTGTCATAAAATAACACACGTATGATGTCATACATGACAATGATATATCAAAGCAAGGTTTTGTATGTGATAATAGAGCCTGTACATGATCCAGCCTGGTCTAGGTTTTAATAAAAGGAACAAATCTTTCATGGGGTGTCATAATAAAATAACACATCCTTCCATGAGATACTATAATAACATAACACATACACACATGCATGATGTCATACATGACTATGATAAAGTAAAGCAAGGTATGTATGTAGTAATAGAGCCTGTACAGGATCCAGCATTGTATATGTTGTAATAGTGTAACAAATCACTTTCATGGGATGTTACAATAGACACATGTATGGTGTCATACATGATAATAATATAGTAAATTAAGGTTATGTATGTAATGATAGAGCCTGTACATGGTCCAGCCTGGTATACATGGACTGTGTATGTGGGGTAATAGGGTAGCAGAGCCTGTACATGGTCCAGCCTGGTATACATGGACTGTGTATGTGGGGTAATAGGGTAGCAGAGCCTGGTACATGATCCAGCCTGGTATACATGGACTGTGTATGAGGGATAAGGCAGCAGAGCCTGGTATACATGGACTGTGTATGAGGGATAATAGGGTAGCAGAGCCTGTACATGATCCAGCCTGGTATACATGGACTGTGTATGAGGGATAATAAGGTAGCAGAGCCTGGTAAAGGACTGTGTATGTTGTGTAATAAGGGAGTATAGGCGGTACATGGTTCAGCCTGGTATACATGGACTGTGTATGTGGGGTAATAGGGTATATGTGGCACAATGGGGGGGTTTCTCACCTCTCTATGCCCATAGGACTTGCAGTAAATCCCAGCGGTCATGCCTTCCAGTAAGTCCCAGCCTGGAGCTCCCTGAGAGTCCAATCCAGAAGATCCTGGGCGCAAAGTCCCAGCCAGGAGCCGCAATCCAAGTCAGCGGGACCCGGCTCAGTCCTTCAGGGGGATGGGCGGCAGGATTGGGGGCGCTGGCTGCTCCCGGGGGTGCTGTGCCCCTTCATGCCCGCACAATGGTGCCCAGGTGCTGCAGCGATCGGCCGGCACAGAGGAGGCAGCGGCGTCCAGCTCTGGAAGGAGAAGGGAAGGGAAGGAGGTAGAAGAGGAGGAGAGCTGGGGGGTGGAGGAAGCACCGAGGGTGGGACCAGTGTGGGAAAGACCCTCTCTGTCCCGGACCCCTTCCCTGCCGCCGGCACACACAGCATGCCAGGAGTTAACTCTCCCCCTCCCCCTCCTCCGCATTCCTGCTAGGTACAGGGGCGTCCCAGGCTGACCTGTGCACAGTGACAGCACAGCGACCTCCGGAGACACAGGGG